TAAACATGTTAAGAGTCGGCTAAAATGTCTTAGTCCTCAGAGCCCTAGTTGTTAGAGAGGGTGGTAACGAGTGGCAGACATTAAGGGAGCAACTCGGCCTCTCGCATAGTACACCGCATTTTGACGTATAAACTTCCCTAAGGCCAAACACTGATGTACTAACAATCACAACGGGTCGCAAAATCGACGTGATGTGCCGTTTTCTATTCGTGGGTCCTCGGTTCGGTTAGGATCGGGCAATTTAGTGCATCAGTTTAGTGACGTTGTGAACGGTCGAGAGAACGGGCTGAAGGAACAGAGTTGACGTTAGTGTGCTAAATTACCTCCCAAACGTCATATGTTCAGAAATCATGACCGTCCCTTCAGGGAGCTTCCACTACACATAAGGGGCATAAATGGCAGACCCCTCACAGTGTTCAAGAGAGAACTGGATAAGCACCTCCAAAGGATACCTGATCAACCAGGCTGTGACTCATACGTCAGGCTGCGAGCAGCCACGTCCAACAGCCTGGTTGATCAGTCCAGCAACCAGGAGGCCTGGTCGACGACCGGGCCGCGGGGACGCTAAGCCCCGGAAGCACCTTAAGGTAAGGAGGTCTTGTATCTCGCAAGACAAAAGCTTCCCCTCAACAAGTACTTCAGCGTGTCTTCCCATTCCTCCTCGTGCTGCTAGGAGTCAGTTTTCTATTTACTCAACACTGATAAACTTTCAAGACGCAGCAGTGAGCGGTGCGGGTAAACTCAGGTGTTGTTTCCCACTGATTTTAATACAATTTGTCTCCGTCTGGGTTCCTGTCACACTACACAAATCATTATTAATAACTGTTTAGGGGGAGAACCTGGAGTACTGTACTGGTATTGTTGAAGCAATACTTGAAACCAAAGTATTTGACTGAATGTACTTTTTTTTTTCTCTCTCTCTCTCTCTCTCTCTCTCTCTCTCTCTCTCTCTCTCTCTCTCTCTCTCTCTCTCTCTCTCTCTCTCTCTCTCTCTCTCTCTCTCTCTCTCTCTCTCTCTCTCTCTCTCGTGTACTAAACGGCCATCACTTGTCGAGCATCCTGTTTTCTAGAATAGCATATCGTATTTTGACGTTTAAATCCCCAACGACCAAATTATGATGTATTATAAATCATAGCTGCTCGCAAATTTGACGGGCTGTTACGTTTTCTTTTCATTGGTCCTCGGTTTGGTTAGCTTCGGGCAATTTAGCACATCATATTTGTGCCGTTGTGACGACTCGAGAAGACGGGCTGAGGTTTTGCTAGTATTGAGTCAATGTCTTCCAACGTTCAACTACTGTCATCTTCCCAATATGCAAACACATAGCAGCTGCCTAACTCCCTGATACCATTTATTCCTAGCTGAACAAAGGCATTAGGTGAAAGGAGATGTGTTCAACCATTTCTGTCCCGCCCGGGAATCGAACCCAGAATCCTTGATTGTGAGTCGAGAACGAAGCCAACTACACTAGGAGACAGTTCCTGCCAGAGGTGTCAGACCAGTTAGTTGTGAGAGCCGTGTGGGTGTGTGGACCGCTGCTATCAACAGCCTCACAGATAAAGGCATCCCCAGAAAAGCCTGGCTCCCGGCACGGCTGCAGTATACCAACTCCATAAACACTCCACAGAAAAAAACGCAAGAAAGCTTTGTCAGATGGGTTATTATTTTTCCCTAGGTTACCCCCAGCTATCAGCTCCTTCCCTTGCCCCAGTTATCACCTACCTCTTCCCCTGCCCAGCTATCACCTCCCCCTTCCCCTGTCCCAGCTATCACCTCCCCCATCTCCTGCCCCAGCTATCACCTCCCTCTTCCCCTTCCCCAGCTATCACCTCCCCCATCTCCTGCTCCAGTTATCACATCCCCCTTCCCCTTTCCCACCTCCCCCCTCACATGCCCCAGCCATCAGCTCCGTGGGAGAGGCCACGGGTTCTGGCGTCTTGTTTACATAACACGGTGGAATGACCTTGCGCGTCCCCCTAACAAAGTCTTAATGAAATATACATCACGACCCTTGTCTCTCTCCCCCCGACGCTTCACCTCAGTGTCTCTGGTGTTCTCCTGCTCCAGCGACGCTCTCATTGTTGTTACTGTAATGTTATTACTGTTCCAGCTGGCGTGCCTCTTAGTTCCCGCCCTGGTTGATGCTTCTCCTAGTTGTTCTCGACTAGTTCTACTTTCCGGGATGAACCTTGACTTTTTTGTAATTTTGCCCTGGAGGGCTGGTTTATTGTGCAGTGTCACTCATCCTGTAAACATACCGCTATAACAGCATGTACAATACCCCCCAATAGGAAGAAAACCCGCTGGGTTGTTAATCCTGTCACTTGTACCCAGACACAGCTAGGACTTTCTGAACTGTTTCAAGTCAACAGACTATCGGTTTAACATCTTGACACATTTTATTACAACCCTTAGGTATTAAGTGCAAATTGGGAAATCTCTTAAGGACAGAATCTATATTTGACAAAAGGTGCTTTCGCAGTTCAATGTGGAAATTGTTATACTGAACATATGTCTGCTGCCTTTTAGATATAGATACAGCCTCGCAGGTAGTGGTTCAGACGATGTCTTTATCTCATGCTGCAGATTCTACAACTCCGCTCCTCAGCTGTTATTTCCACCCAGAATACTTGAACATGAACTTGGTTCAGGATGGTTCCTTATCACAATATATATGTGCTCCAGCCTACAGTTTAGACCTATTGTCTTATGTATGACCCTCTGTCCTGCGTGACAGTGAATACTAGCATTATCCTCAATTTAATAAGACTATAAAAATCCTCAGATTAGGCAAAATTGTAAATAATTTTGTCAATAAAGATGTTAATAATAATAAACCTCCTCTTTCACCCTGCCACCTCTTCCCTTCTCTCGAAAACTCTCCCTCTACACCTTTCACTAACCGAATCCTCTCCCCTCAACATTTATCTTACGTTCACTTGATACAGTTAAGCAAGTCCCAGCTGAGTCCGGGAACAAGTGACAGGATGAACAACCCAGCGAGGGTGTTGTACATGCTGCTACAGCGGTGTGTTCACTCACAGGATGAGTGGCGCTACCAAAGAAAAGAAAACTCGCCTCTCGGGTCAAAATTAAAAAAAAAAAAACTCACAAACCTCTCCTCTCACCAACTTTCCCGTCTATCAATAACCTTTCTTCTTCCCACTCTACAGGGGATCAACACAAACTTTTGTTTTCCCTTATTTTTCTCTCTCTCCATAGCTGTGTTCCCTCCCCCAGTCTCTCCCCTTGGCCTGGGTCAGTGTCCCTTACAATGTTTCTTGTGGAGTCGCCTTGACCGTGACCAACTTTTGTCGACCGTTTGTTTGGCGGCTCTCCGAGGTGTCGCCTCTTGCCGCACACTCTATTTTCAAGAGGGAGGGAGGCAGGGGAAGAGGTGGGGAGAGGGGCAGGGAAGAGGTAGGGGAAGGGCAGGGAGAGAGGTAGGGAGAAGGGCGCAGAGAGGGAGAGAGGAGGGGAGAGGCAGGGAGAGGAGGAGAGGGGCCAGACACGCACAATTGGCTCAGCCTTCATGTTCTTGTTTCCAAAATGTTGCTTCTTGTTTACACGAGACTAATCAAAATATTCTGACCAAACAACTGGTGACTTATCTTGACCCTGGCAAACGTAAACAATACAATTGAGTGTGAGGGGAGGTAGGACACCTTCGGTTTCCAGAAGGTTTCGTTTCCAGGTCCCGGGGCCACTGTCGCTTGGTACCCTTGAGGGGGAAATGTTCCCCGTGACCTCGCTAAATGAAACTGTCAAAAATCCCAGTCATGGAGCCAAGAAATTCGCCCTTGTCAGTTCCTGGGGAAACGCACCCAACAGTATTCTTAACATAATGAGGTTACTACACGAGAACAATCAACAACAGTGGAGGAGTACACCTAAAATAGGTCAGTGTGTGACGTCATGAAGGTCAAGGTCGGTGAAGAGAGGGGACGTCATAGGGGAAAAAACGGAAGTTGGCCAAAAGGAAACCGATTTCGAGTTGGAGGTTTATGGCGAGGGGGAGATGGTTGAGTATTTTTGGTGTGTGTACTCACCTAGTTGAGCTATGTATCTTTGGTCCCGCCTCTCAACGGTCAATTAACTGATGTACAGGTTCCTGAGCCTATTGGGCTCTATCATATCTACACTTGAAACTGTGTATTCCCGTAGTCTCTCCTCATAGCTCATGCTCCTCAGTTCGGGCACTAGCCTGGTGGCAAACGTTTGAACCTCCAATTTAGTCTTATGTGTACTCACCTAGTTGTGCTTGCGGGGGTTGAGCTCTGGCTCTTTGGTCCCGCCTCTCAACCGTCATTGTGTGTGTGTGTGTGTATGTGTTAGTGTGTGTGTATGTGTTAGTGTGTGTGTGTGTGTGTGTGTGTGTGTGTGTGTGTGTGTGTGTGTGTGTGTGTGTGTGTGTGTGTGTGTTTGTGTAATTACCTAAGTGTAGTTACAGGATGAGAGCTATGCTCGTGGTGTCCCATCTTCCCAGTACTCTTTCTCTTATAACACTTTGAAACTACTGACGGTTTTGGCCTCCACCACCTTCTCACTTGTTGCAACCGTCTACCACTCTGTTACAAAAGAGTGCGCGCGTGATACGTACGCACTCTCAGATACTGGTTATATCATTGATGTATGTGTGGTGTTTGTACTTAATTGTCTATGTACACTTGTTAATGTGTTAAAAAAGACGGAGAGAGAGAGAGAGAGGGGAGGAGAAAAGAGGGGGGTAGAGTGAATAGAGGAAAGTGAAGAGAAAAGGAGAGAGAAAGGAGAGTGAGAAGAGATGAGAAGAGAGAAGAGTAACACCACATACCCCCCCGAAGGTTCTCACGACACCACCCGCTCTGGTGTGGGTAGTGTCGGTGGGTTAACACTGTGGAGCTCCAGTCTACGGGGACAAAGTATATTGTTATAGGACCTTCGCATATTAGTGCTCAAAGGAAACTGGGTAATACACACCATAATATACATGTATATACAGGTGAAATTCATTGACAAAATGATGATAAATGTAATGACCGAACTCCAGCACCGAGTGATTCAGAAACCTCCAAATATTGGATCACTGTTAGCGACGGTGACCCAATATTGGATCACTGTTAGCGACGGTGACCCAATATTGGATCACTGTTGGTTACGGTGAGTCAATATTGGATCACTGTTAGCGACGGTGACCCAATATTGGATCACTGTTGGTTACGGTGAACCAATATTGGATCACTGTTAGCGACGGTGACCCAATATTGGATCACTGTTGGTTACGGTGAGTCAATATTGGATCACTGTTAGCGACGGTGACCCAATATTGGATCACTGTTGGTTACGGTGAACCAATATTGGATCACTGTTAGCGACGGTGACCCATTATTGGAACACTGTTGGTTACGGTGAGTCAATATTGGATCACTGTTAGCGACGGTGACCCAATATTGGATCACTATTGGTTACGGTGAACCAATATTGGATCACTGTTGGTTACGGTGAATCAATATTAGCGACGGTGAACCAATACGGGATCAATATTAGCGACGGTGACGTACCCACCGTTACACAGCCGGCATCCCAGTGGACACAGTACAAGACGAAACCTCCTCAATACTATTGGAAAATGTGACCGCTGAGATCTGCGTGCTGGACTTGAGCCAACTGATTCATTCACGCCTCAGTGATACAGTTGAAGGGAGACGTCGCCATTATTACCACATTTATGTATATATGTATACGTATGTATATTTACATGTATGCATGAGTATGTGTACATGTATATATAACATTAATCATTTTGTAACTAGCGTCAAAAGATTGTTATTTGTTTAGCTAAACGAACTAGAGGGTTCAGTTCCTGAACCGATTATGTGCCTCTGTAATCCTTTACACCACCGCCCACGGGATGGGTATGGGGTGCATAATAAAGAAAAAAATTGAATTGCAATGACATATAAACACCTGAATTACGTGGTTAGTTTTATCCACGAAAATCAAATAAAATGTAATTATAAGCTGTTAACAACGTTCTCAGATACCCCCCGTATATCGTTAAGTATAGTATCTATATATTTTATATTATTGTGCCCTCATTTGGCAGATAACCGCCTTCTCCTTCTAGACATACAATAGGGTTTACACAGATGGTGTTCTGTTTATATATAAATTATACATAAGAAATATAAAAAATAAACTATTTTTTAGATGGCTAAGACCGACGACTTTACTTCAAGTGCCTCATGTCTGTCCCCGTTCAGACCCGCCATGAAAATTGCCTCATGTGTCAAGCCACAAAATGTAATCAATCTGAATCACGTGATGACATGTGTTTCACGCCTGGTGATATCGGCTTATGCAATATATATTGATATTTAAAGGATGTGTTATTCACCCTTGTGAGTTTGTACTCACGAGTCCATGAACAAATCCAAATGTTGTCTTTCACCAAGAAATGTGGAAGTGAATTAAGATGTGCTAGCCTCCAGCTACACATAACAACATTAACAAGGTCTACACGTAATACACAATAATGTGTAAACAATAATAAGCAGGGTCTACACAACGTTGCTCAACCCGTTCTCGCACTTTCTTACAGTCAATATTGACTTATTAAATAAGTGCCTATGTGACATACTAATTTATTATGAATATTTTAGTTTACCTTCAAAAGCTTCATAGAAAACACCGACCTTACCTAACCTTCTTAGTATGTTAGGATAAGCATCTTATTGCTTCATAATTACAATTATTACTAAACCTATACCTATAATAGGTTAAGTAATAATTGTAATTACGAAGCAATAAGATGCTTATCTTAACGTTCTAAGAAGGTTAGGTAAGGTCGGTGTTTTCTATAAAGCTTTTCAAGGTAAACTAAAATATTCACAATAAATTAGTATGTCACATATGCACGTATTTAATAAGTCAATATTGACTATACGAAAGTGCGAGAACGGGTTGACGTTGCTACACATAATAACATTAGCTTAGGCTACGACCTCATGGCCGTAGCCTAAGAACAGAGAGAAGGGCGACGCGGCATCAATACTAATGGATGGTATCTCTTGGTCAGAGCGCACCAGTCCCCCCCCTGATAATCTGGCGGATGCAGACCTGACCTTGAGAGACTGAAGTGGGTGGACACGTCCACCTCACACACGCAAGACTAAGGAAGGCAGACGACAGGTGCCATGTCCCCCACCCCGCTCAGGAGAGCCACCAGACAGGTGCGTGGGCTGCTGACCCCGTTAGTCCCTAGTGATACGGCACGCTGTTGCTTGTTTTCTGCTCCGCACATCTCCTTGGTGTGTCCTTTGAATGAATTCTAAATAATTATAAATTAAGTTTACAAAAGGTAAGTTGCAAGATATTTAATGGCCTTTATAATTGGCTCTTCCTGTAGATACGTTATTGATTATATATAGTATATATAATATACTATATATAATATACTATATATAATATACTATATATACTATATATAATATACTATATATACTATATATATATATATTCTACTGTATATAGTATATATACATCTCACTTTATGTGAGATGTATATACTATATACAATAATGGCGGTGCTGCCACTCCGTGATTGGCAGCACCTCCTGCCTGTGCAGCACTGAAGTCAACATAGCTGTTGGCTAAAGTTGAAACGCAAGTGTAGTCCCACACCAACTGTATCATTCTTCCAGGGGTTCACCGTGATCCCGTCTGGGCGACCGACAGCTCACCAGAGTTGCGGGGCATTAGGTAACGGGGTTCTCTCTCTGCAGGACAACTGGCTGTGGTAGGCATGTTTGCAGCTGCTTGGTCGACAATGGGGCGATCCCAGCTAGATTGCTTGTGAGCTTCAAAAGGTTATAGTTCGGGTCCTGTCCTGCGAGAGAAACCCATTTGGTGGTGCAGACCGTAAAACTGGGATCATGTACCCTTGACTGTTGATATAGGTACTCAGGTAGGATTTCCTTCACCAGATTGTCAGATGCCACTGAAGAGGACAGGATCGCTGGTACAGCAATTTGTGTTGCTGTGCGAACGCCAAGGCCCCCCGAGTCTGACAGGAAGGGAGGTTTATTTCCACTGTGAGTCGCTGAGAGAAAGGTTGAGGGCTTTTCCTAACATTGATTTTAGCAGGCTGTCGTACTCTTCTAATTTAATATTATTGAAAGATGGCGAACATCTAAGAAAGTAGGTCAGCCTGGGGAGGGACAAGCGTCTGGTGATGAGGTAAAGTGCATCATGAGCGTCAATGTCTTCAATCCTCTCATTCATCTTCTTCAGGTCAGTGATCTTACCAAGGACCTCGTCGATGGCGTTCCCTCCAAGAGGAGCTCCTAGGAGTGTGCTGTCCTCAGGGTTGGTTATATGAATATCGGGCAAAACAACCTTTATTCGCTCTATTATGTGCTGGTTGGTGGAGGTTATTTCGCACTTGGAAGAGTTCAGGGTGAGGCCTAGACTTGCTCCTTTCTCCTGAATTATTCTTATGTCATCCAGGAGGGAGTCTGGGGAGCCAGCTAGAGTACCATCGTCCAAAAATCAAATGTTGAGCTCATTGGTCAGGTTTTCAGTGACTTCCTTGATAACTAAGTAGAAAATAAAATGAGCAAGGGGGTCACCCTGTTGGACACCTTCTTGAGATTCAATTTCATGTTCCCCGAATAACAGAGTTAGATTCTTGCTGCAACATGAGTTTACAAACGGGTAGAGGGAAGAAAAAAGCGACGAATCACACTGAGTACAGCATCCCTTCTTACTAGATGGAAAGCATTTTTGAAATCCAGTTTTATTAGAGCCTTTTCATATATATATATATATATATATATATATATATATATATATATATATATATATATATATATATATATATATATCGTACCTAGTAGCCAGAACGCACTTCTCGGCCTACTATGCAAGGCCCGATTTGCCTAATAGGCCGAGTGATTTTCTTTATTTTCAATAAATTGTTTCCTATTGGTTCACATTGCGACCCGTTGAAGGTGTGGACACAATTCGACCCAAACGTCTAAAGGTCAGAACTACCCCTCTTGACGGTCATGCTTTCGGGAGAAGCAATATTCTTAAGGTCCTGAAGGACATTACCGGCATCACACCCACTGACATTAGTCAGGAAGGTGATGATATCGTGCTCTTCTTTTCATGTGAGGAAGAACTAGAAAAACTCTTGACCAACGATGCCATACTTCGCAAGGAGCACCACCTACATCCTCACTTCCCACGTCAGTTCCTGGCCGGAAGAACTGTTTTTACCAGCAGGACCAGCCAGTGGATCGCTGACCGACCGCAACATAAGATCATGGACAATATCGAGGACGAAAATCCGAACCTGGGTGTATTCAACCTAGAGTTCTGCAGCACCGACAAATCATCAATGAAGATTACTTTCACCACCATAGCTGCGGCCACCCAGGCTGCCACACAAGGTTTCTACTGCTTCGGCTTACAAATACAACCCCACCAAGTAAAAAAGGAACGATACCATGAGATCCAGCAGTGCTTCAAGTGCTACGAGCTCTCCCACCCCACCAACAAGTGTCAGCACCCTGTCCAGAAGTGCAGCCTGTGCGCACTGGACCATCACTACTCCATATGCAAGGCAACAGTCCATCGCTGCTTGCTCTGTGATGGCAATCACCCCGCAATTTCCTACCGCTGCCCCCGCAGACAGGAAAACATCAAGGCCCAGGTTGAAGCCAAGAGAAACAACCCTTCTACCTCCGCGACCAGAGCCCCAGGTGCTCAACCCACCACCTCAGCTCCCACCAACCGACTAGAAGACTTTCCAGCCTTACCAAAGAGTGGCTCCTCCAACCAGGCGACCCAGCCTTCACAATGGGGACCCAAGGCCCCACAGGCTCCTTCGCAGCCCCCTGCATCACGTGCAGGCATTATTCCTGGTCTTATTAGACTAGCGGAAAGGCTTGCCGGACCAGACAACCACCGTTTTGTCAGTGAACTGAACATATTATACCTAGCCAATGGCCTGGACCCCATCATAGCCCCTGGAGCAAGTCTCACTGCCTCCACTACCACTCCGGAAACTACCACCAGGACGACCACGAGGTCGATTTTAATACAGACTCCAGAACCGCCCATGACCCGGGCGACACAAACAAAGGATGTAACAC